TCTTATTCCTACTTTCAAAGGGCTTATCTTCCTTTTCTCCGGCTTATCCCCAAGCCGGAAAAAAGCGACGGCCATGTAAATGCAAATGCCGCGGGGGATATTTAAATCCCCCACAGATTTGCAATTGCGATGTGTCTCATTAGCATCCCTTTTCCGGAAAGGGATGCCAATGTAGACACAGCCATACAGTTTATGATCCAAAACACTCACATCATCTGAAACTCAAGTAGACAGCACTCAGCATTTGTCTCCCTTAAGGCACTACTGTGTCACCACAAGGCTGACATTTCAGTCTGGATCCAAGCTGTTACCTTCATAGTCTAAGTCTACACAGCTTCCCTCTTCCACAAAAGCTTATGCAAATGAAGCGTGGATTAGCATATTGCCACACTTCATTTTCTTAATTAGGAGTTGTTTTTGCACAAAAAGGTGGTGTAGACGGTGTCTTTTTGCGCAAAATGGTTCCTAATTAATTATGCAAATGAAGCATGACAATATGCTAAGCCGTGCTTCATTTGCATGGGCTTCTGCAGAAGAGGGAAGCTGTGTAGACGTAGCCACAGAGAAGAAAACTGTAACTCTGAAACTGACCAGTAGCAGCTGTGATTAACAAGATTATCATCTATTCTGTTCAGTCTTATTGTGGGACACACTTGCTACTAGGGTGAAGAGAAATAAATTTGCTTTTTGCAGAGTAATGGCAGATTGTCAAAATAATTTTTATTTCTTTTTGGAACAAAAACTTCTGCCACTGGGGCTCTTGCCATCTCCTCATTTGATTTGTTGCCATTAAAGTGAGAGCTGGTTGGAAATTTCACTTGTGTTGAAATGTTCTCAGCAGCTCTACAGTAAAGCATTGTGTCCAGAAAGTGAATTGGGAGGAAGTGGCCACTTTGTTGATAGATGAAGCCAAAGAGTTCTAAGAACCTGATTTGATGGCAAAACATTATCCCTCCACATCCTTGAGATGGAGTATCTTTTCTATTTACTGCTCTGGGGACCAAGAAGAAGAATGGGAGTCACTGAATATATACCCTTAATATCTTATCTTAAAATTCTTTGCCATTTCTCTAATCCAGCTTGCATTCTGGGAGTTATGTTTGCACATTTGGCTGCATATCTTGCAGTACAACTAATCTGCATACATTTGCATTCAACAGATACCAAAGGAAATAGAAAAGAAAGTTCATCTTCATCCTATGAAGGACGAAGCAGGTAAGCAACTGATTTGATTTGTTTTATTCTGGGCTCAGCAGTGATA